AGGGGGCAAGGTCCGGATCTCTGGGGGTAGCTCATTCCAAAGGGTCGGAGCAGCCACAGAGAAGGCCCTCCTCCGGGGAGCCGCCAGCCGGCAGTCTGGCTGACGGCATCTGAAGGAGCTCCACTCTGTGGGATCTCACCAGCCATTGGGAGGTATGTGGCAGTAGGCGGTCTCGGCCTTCTCTCAGAAAATATTAGAAATGTTGCAGCTGAGATTCTGGGAACTGAAGCAATGCTATAATTCAAAGGGAATTCAAATTCTGTTGATATACAGATGGAATGTGATTTTGCATTTTCCAACTGAACAATTATGAAATTAAAAGTGACAACTAAGGATTTGTGCTTTAAATTTTGCATAACTTTCTCTGTGTTTTCTGTCTCATCCCAAGTTAGGGATACTCAGTGGAATGAGAATGAAAGCGACCCCAGTGTGCTGACATTGCAAATGATCAAGCAAGGGGCACCTTTGGAAATCACTGAGGACCAAAAGAACATGAAATCAAGAAACATTATTACAAAAAGCTGTTTCAGCTCCTCCTGAACAAATAGACAGGAATGAGAATGGGAACCTCCTCTGGGATGTGAAGACACCTAAAAAACAATCCAATACGCATCCATGGTGTAGAATTGAAACCTAAGGCAACCAATATGAATGCAGAAGTATGGAATCTTTTTCAGTCAAAAGTCTCTCATGATATGGGAATATTGTCACATATGTATAAATACAGAGTGTGAAGGGCTTCAGGATGAAGAATTCTTTTTACAAAGGTGTCAGAATGACGAGAAGCCCCCAAAATACATATACGAAAAACTTTTTCAAACATTAGGGCCTTATTTCCTTTGTATGTGGACTAAGATGTCTACATTTGATGTCAATAAAGTCAATTAAACATCAATGACATGGTTACTTTCCAGGCATGTATTAAATTCTTTTTGGCTGTATTAATTAGCATCCAGTAAGTACGAAGTAGGATTTTAACTTTGTACACTAAAACAGTTTACATTTGTACAATAAAGCAGCTTTTATGGAAAAAAGAAATGCTGTCTATCTTGTATATATAAAAGCCAAATACCACTCACTCATTATGAAATCTCCAGAATTGTAAAGACTACAAACTTGAAATTCGGCACATATGTTCCTCTTGGCTTCTAGGTCTGATGTGACTATCCGAGCATCAGTATTTCTTATACAGTATTATATTAACGCATGATGTTAGACATTCTATTCCTCCTCCCTACCTGAAATGAACTCTGTTCCAACTGCCAGTTGCCTTATATGGGCATGGCCAGTGTGTGACTCATCCGGCCTGTGGGCTGAGAGTTTAGACATTCTACTCCCCCTCCCCACCTGAAAAGAACTCTGTTTCAACTGCCAGTTGTCTTATATTAACACGTTCTGATGCTAAAGAGTTACACATTCTAAATTAATTTTCAAGCTTTAAAGTGTCAAGCCCGATTGTAGCAAAACACGGGTATCCAGCTAGTGTGCCATATGTTTGGATTGTGTATGATAAGAAAAACCCTACCAATTACACATGAAATTTTTGGAAGGAGTAGGAGACAAATTTCAGGGTTTCCGAGGTTCCTGCTGGTTTGAAGCTCTTTATTCAAATGTTGCTCTTGGATGGTTCTGGGTCAAACTAAAGAAAAAGTTACTATTTCCATTTTGGTGTCCTTTTTTTTAATTAGAGAAGTGGAAATCAGATTGTTATAAAGAACCTGGATAGCTAAAAATGGATGAAGAAATTAAATCCATTCTTTTTAAATGGAGCTTCTTAACCACTTTTACCCTTCATTTTAAATTCTTTGTTTTACTAAGTAGCTAACCCTCGTTTTTGCTTGCCTTCTTACTTCTAGATGCAGAGGAATCTCTTCAAATCACTGGAGTTTTCGGTTCTTTCTGCCTAACACAAAATGTGTACCTTTTCTTTTTATTCATAATGTAAACATTCTAGTGGCCTTAATTTCTTCAAATGGTCTTCCCAGTCATATTTCCTGAGATGGATTTCCTATTAATCCCTATATTTAAAAAATGGTTTTTTCCCCTCATGGTATCTGAAATTTATATTCTTTTTCTGCCATTTTCCTTTATTTTACAATTCTAAATTTTCTCCAGTCACAGATGAGACGCCATTTTCCCTTCTTCATTTTTCCACCAATGCGCCTCCTTGTAAGGTAAAATTCTGGAAGATCCACCAGTTTGAAATTTTCCTCCATTTTGGGAGAACAGGTTTTTTTTTAATTTCTTTTTCTTCCGCATTATTTCCGATGTCACAAGCTACCACTTGCTGCTTCCAATCCTTCTTTGACACCCAGAGCCACGAATGTTGAAAGGGCAGTAACATATATTGAATTAAGTAAAAACCGATAGAAATGTCCCTTTTCCTGACAGAAATTTTTTCTTCCTTTCAGGAGAGACTACCATCTTTCCCAGATAGACGACCATTCAGAGAGTCCTTTCCTCCTACTCCCATGCCCCTAATCCCTCTCCTCCACATCTGCAAAGAAGTGGTCCTTTCTGGCTCTTTTAGGGAAGGTGTTGTGCACAGATTCCTCCAAGGTGTGCCCTCTACCAAGAGGTGGGAAAACCGGGCATTTCACTGCTGGAGGGCGGATTATGACTG